TCTCTCTCTCTCTCTCTCTCTCTCTCTCTCTCTCTCTCTCTGAAAAGGGTTCGGAATTTTCAAACTAATTTATTTTCATGGCAGGGCAGACTGGTCCTGCAACTGACATTTCACATAATGTTCCTGACTTCGTGCCCAAGCCGTCTTAGGATAAAGGAGAAACCATCAAAGATTTAATGGATTTTTTGTGGGGGACGGGCATGCATTCTGCCTGATACCAGGACTGCACAAAACAGATCACGACGTTTTCTCGTGGAATAACTCAGCAGTTTGAGTTTCAATTTATGTGACATACGGAATCCTGCAAGATTCAAAAAGAGCAAGTCATTCCTCATCACCCGCGGGGTGTTTGTCTCCTCCAAATCTGAACGGGACCACATGCTCACGTGGATCTTGAGCCTTGGGCCTGTGTCGTCCTGGACACCTGTACAATTTACTAATGTTAGACACGCTTCTAGTTAAATTCCCGAAATAATCTCACCTTTGAATTCTTGACGTCCAGCTTCAGGTAGTATCCCGGTAGCACGCTGGGGTCTTCGTTGACGTGTTGCAACGCCAACAGTGTGGACTGGAGTATAGCACTGCCGTCCCAGTCTGTACCGGCACCCCCAAAACTGAACAGACCCCCTAGGGTAATGTTGGTGAGGCATAAGGTCTCCGTGGTGAGGGACAGGAAGATCAGGGATGTGGTGAATAGGAGCTGTTGGTGAAGTGCGTCCATTTTCATTCCTGTCTAAGCGCAGAGTGCGACGAGGTGTGCGATTGTATCTACGGTACACAGTGCCATGACTACCACACGCACCGTACCGGCGCAATAGCTAGAAATTCTACATCCGCTGCATTGTCATTGGTTCCAGGAAGTCACGTGGGTAAACCAGCTAATTGGCCCTCGTTTTTCCCATTTATCGGTTGATTTCACTGAGGAAATTTGAGCAACGGAGTTAATTTGACGCCCTGGAAAGAAACGGAAGCGATAGAGTTGTTATTCCTGTGACATATGACTCCATTATTATTGCCGCGTTAAATTTGCGGCTGCAAATAGCAGTCGGTATAACAGCAAACGAACAATCGAATTTAATATATCATCAAGCTGTGGAGAAGCGCGCGATACGCGGCTCATGATTCCTCTTTCGGATCGCTGAGAAGATAAGAGAAATATGACACTAAACATAACATCCAATCGCACCTATAACACAGCGCCACCGTTTATACACCAAAACAAGGAGGACGTGTTCTGATTATTTTACTTATTATTGTGGTAAATTCTCAAAGTGTTGGCTGGAGCTGAAAATAACGCATGCGCTAAAAGACAGCCAGCGAACTGAACAGTTGCATGTGTTATTTCTGACGCATGCAGCCTGTTCATTTGGACTTGGTATAATTGTGTACGAGTGTATAGGACGGTAGCCTCATTACGGGTACACCCCATTGGATGAATTCCCGTAGTCACTAGTAATGGCCTACTTTTAACGTTTTAAAAACATCATAACTCTCTCGTGTTCGGGCTGCAGAAAAAATGTGATAAACATGTTGTCTTTCCTTTTTTTTATTAACTATTGGTGGGTTGACCAATAACTTGAGAAATTCTCACCCAAAGCATGCACTCCTAAGACGAAGGATATTTCCCTAACTGGAAAAGTAGCCATTTCGCAAAAGCACAACGGCTAAATTGTGCCACTTTCGGACCAGATTGCATCCAAATTGTTCAGAATTGGTAGCCCAAAATCCAAACCCGAGGTTCAGTGCCATATTTCTTCAATTCCCCTAGTCCACGGCTCTTGGAACTCATTAACACAGTATATCTTGAGGGTAGAACTTTTATTAATGGGGCTCTGTAGGCTGCAATGCATTGGGCTATAAATAGCCTGATGGCTGATAGTCGGAGAGTGCAGAGTGTCTGTTCAAACGCGCGCTAGATTTTTTTTAATAAAAAACGGGGGCCCAGTAAGAGCAAATTTGTAAACGTGCACGGAGAAAAGGGGTGAAACAATTATTTAACTGCCAAGGTATTCCTAATGATCCACGTTCATAATAACCCAAGAGCCTAACGGAACAGAATAAAAAGGCCTGTATTATGCAATTGGCAAACAGAATCCTGTCATAGTACCAAATGCCAGAACACGTTCTCTTTCGTGAAGTTTATTTTAGTTTCTTTATTCTTTGATATTTTTCTTCTTCATATTTTTGTAATCCCTCGGGGGAACTATATATTTAAGTGTAGCTTGTTTCTATGTACGACCCCCTTACAAATACAAGACCCTTCAATGGCGTTCATGCATAGCCTACATCACAATATAGGGCCATAACGATGGATGTATAGGCTGCTCTCAAACCAATGGGTGCTTAAATCGCCATTTTGTGCAGTTATTTCTAGAAATCTCTACGCATGAATGCGTACAAGGCTGAGATTGCGGAATGAGTTTAATAAACGGCCCGGATGTGATGCCTGTACACAAATGAAAAGGTGATGTACGTTTTGGGTGGATGTGATATTGGAGAAAGACCGTGATTTTGGCAGAGAACATCTGAAAGTAACGTCTGAGCCAGAAATCACATCCAGTTTGGTGATCACTTTTTAAAAGTTGCCAGAAGGTGGATGTGATTTGGGGATGGCGTTATTACACGGGACGTGATTCTCGACTTAACGACATAGGCTATTCTTCCTGTAATTTCTAGCTCGCATGTGATTTTGGTGGGTTGGATGCGATATTGGAAAATCCATGTCAAGATCACATTCAGGTGAGTCATCTTTCCATTTTTGCAGAAAAAAACACATCCAGGCCATTCACAGTGTTTTGGAGAAAATACCATAGTCACGAAAAATAGTGATATTGCCATTATTGTCGTGCCAACTAATCACGCAACGCCTCTGCGTGTCCAGTGTGGGAAGTCCATATCCGGGGCCGTTTTCCAATACTCAACTTCATCTCCGTCTAAGGCTTCGTTCCAAAAACCAGTCCCCGATTGTGGGCCTGGAGCGTTTGGATTACATTGGATTACTGTAATTTTGGCTTTCTTGCGTCTTATTCGGTGTTCTGTGGCACTATGAGACTGATTACTGCGCATACAGCTTCAAAATCAGCTAGTATAAAAACAGTTGAAGCCCGAGACGGAGCCGACGTTGAGTATTGAAAAACGGCCCGGGTTTGTTGCGTGTATTTACGTAGACTGAACAGGCTGATGCATGGTCCGGTCTTTTATGTCGTTGTTGGGCGGTTCTCAGGCTTATCTAATTAAAGACATCGACAGTCACGTTTTGGGGAGCTCGCACGTTTTTTCAAAACAAGATGCACCCAACAATCTCCACCAAATGCAATGCAAATTATATTTCTCGAAAACGTGCTTTTGATATCAATAAAAAAACAAGAACGACCAGGTCTTGAAAAAAAGGGTGGATCCGGGGACGGTCCCTAATTTTCACAAAATAATGAGAAAGTGCTAGTTTGTCTTTCCAGTTTCCCTTCTTTCAAAAGCACTTAACCCTGAAAGATAAGGGGGGATATAACGGTGAACGGGCTCAGCACTGCTGGCTCATGGACGACAAACACGGCCGACTATTCCAAAACGACTTGATTTCAAGTCTAGGTTTCCAGTGTTTCAGGACACTGACATGGATACAAATTAAATCATGAGTCTAGGATACAAAAATGATTGACATTATGAAAATGATATGCAACAAGAATATTACACAGAATAACTTACATTTAAAGGCAGATATCAGCAACTGCTGCAGTATAATCAATATCACATCCAAGATGAACATTCTCAGTGTGACATAGATTTATTGTGAACGAAGAAGAAAAGCACGCGCTGATAAAAGATCCTGCACACTTTGATGACTTTTATTTGGATCGCAAAAGTTTGAAAAAGACAGAAGAGATTAAACTTTGACGTGGTCAAACTGTAGCCTTGGGTGTCTGTGCAAGAACGGAGTGGAATGACTAAAACGAACGTGAATGGCCCAGAAAAATCCTTCAATGTGCGCGTGAAATTGAAATTGAGTGGAACATTGGTGAAAGAGAAACCCCAGTGTGAACAGAATCGAAAAATCTGCACCAAGCCGAATGCGTGTTGACAGCATTAACGATTTAAGGCATCTTAGCCAAGATAACTAAATTACGGGTGTAAAGGCTCCCCCTTAAAACCTTTTTGTGCGCAGATTTTCCAAGTCGCACACTCCTAGTACGCGTACCGTTTCTAATGGTCTACAACGAGACAGTAAAATCCCATCAACCCCCATCCCCTTTTAAACAAATAGTCGCGTGAAATGTTTTTCCAACGTTCCTGGCTGCAGAAGGCACAAACAAGCCAGTCGATGGAAAAAACGTCTGCAACCGATGAATAGTCTCCCTAAGCAATCCCGTCGTTGCCAATTATGATTCGGGCGCAACCACGCGCGGTGGCCACGATCACACTTAATCCAACCAGTATCTTTCATTTGCAGCTATCCAAAAAATATAACCGACCAAGATGTACTTGTCTTTAAGACAGTAATTGCACTAAAACCTTTGTCTTAGGTTATCGATAAAGAGAGCGGAGAACAGGTGATTTACAAATACAAGCCAAGGACACCCACTTTTGAATGAGACTGAGGAAATGGAATTCAAACGCGTTCTGAACCCAAGGCCCAAACCCAAGTTATAATAATATTGGCAAGTTTTAAACATGTAAGGGGCCTAATGGTAAAAGAAAGTATGAAATACACCTGTCCGCCTGCATGCATTCTAAGTTGCAGTTGGTAAGGTGCTATACAAAACATAATATCAACAAGGCTTTGTGAATATGAGATTCAGAATTTTACGTTTTCTCTAAATAGGCCAACTGTAATCGCAGAGCTAAAACTTAATAGGTGCGTTATGAAACAATTGACCGTCTCAATTTTTTGAGCAATTATTTCAAATAAAACGCACGAAGGAAAAACGTTATACCTTTAACGCTGATTTCCTACCCAAAATTCAAAGCGTATGTATTTATATCGTTAATAAAATAGGGCATTTGTTACGCCACGAAGAGTTATAATCAAGACTTGGGCTTCTATGTTTTGTGTTCAAAATGACTCATATAAAATCGGGTCTCGATGACTTATTAAATCAGGAGAGGACTAATATTAGTTAACAGTGACTGATTTTGGTCAAATTTGACTGACATGACTTATCTTTGACGAATAAATGTTAGTCACTGGCCTGTCTGACTAGTTTAAATTAGTCAGTCTAGACACAGCGCTGGATTTATTTTTATTAGTCAAAATGACTAATTTTGTTTACAGTGATATACATTCCAGCTCGTGGGCACAGTTCACCAACAAAACCTCAAGATTCAACAAAGCGACAACTCTTTGCTGCGCCGATTCATCATACATTTTGACAGGTATCTGTACTTGGTTGCACGATGCATTAAGATCTGTTATTTCCCTTTTTAAGAATCTGGATTCACGGATTACAGAAAAAGTTAACGATTAGACGATTCAAGAGCCTGTTTCCACTACACTTTATGACGTGCAGGTGCCTGAGTTACACTGCTTGCAGCTTGCGTTATAATGACGCATCCCCGGCTGCAGGAAGGGAAATTGCTCCTCGACTTAAAAATTGTCTTTGCGATTAATCTCCTTGTTTCTGGGCAGTTCATCATTTGACAGATGAGTGGCCCTTTGGAGATAGGTCGATGGGGATTCTTGAAAAGAACGGTATCGATCTGATTACTCATTCCCGTTTCATACTTGAATGATGTACTCCTTGATTTGAAGTTGGGGAGGAAGTAGCACAAAATGAATGACAAGC